TCTCTTTAATCAATTACACTACTGTGTAACTGCATTAATACTGTGTATTAGTGTACATTGTTAGTAACTGTGTATTAATCAAAACACTTTCTGTGTGATCCATGCAAATAATCGATAACATCATAGATATTAAAAATGACTCTTAAAGTCTTAAAACAATAGGATTTCTTACACGTGGAGCTCAACGAATAACATTTTCTCTGTGTGCTGAAAGCAGCTTTCCTTCCAGGATGTGGTTCCTAACCATCGCAGCCGTGGCATGTCTGTTCCCACCTGCCTCCCACGCTGGGGTAAAGGATCTGAGCCTTCACTTCAGCCAGACCGATCACAGCCCCCCGCCGTCGGCGGGGCCTCGGGGCTCCCAGCCGGGCGGGGCCGGGGACGTGGAGAAGATCCCGACCGATTTCCACAAAGAGAACACGGTGACGAACGACCTCCCGTTCGACGGGGGCTTCGAGGAGGAGGACTACATCGATTTCGACAAGCTGCTGGGGCTGGACGACACCGACTACGACGCCATCGACGAAATCGACACCCCGGCTCCCGGCGGGGACGTCGTCACCGAGCCCACTGACCCCCAGGTGAGGAGAGCCAACCTATACCGCCTCTTCCACGGACAGACCCGAATCCAGAGGCTCAGCACCGCCAACGCCGACTTCGGCTTCAGCCTCTACAGGAGCCTGAGGAATGCCGCCAACCAGACGGACAACATCCTGTTCGCGCCCGCTGGCGTCTCCATCGCCATGGGCATGATAGACCTGGGAACCAAGCAGCACACCCACGAGCAGCTCTTCTCCGTGCTGGGCTTCCAGGACCTCGTCAACGCCAGCTCTAAGTACGAGGACAGCACCGTGCACAAGCTCTTCCGGAAGCTCACCCACCGCCTCTTCAGGCGCAACTTCGGCTACACCCTGCGGTCCGTCAACGACCTGTACGTGGAGAGGGGCCGCAGCATCACGGACGCCTTCCGGGCCACCGTGAAGGAGTACTACTTCGCCGAGCCCCAGTCGGTGGACTTCAGGGACCCGGCGTTCCTCCTCAAGGCGAATCAGCGCATTTCAAAGCTGACCAAAGGCCTCATTAAAGAGGGGCTGAAGAACGTCAACCCTGACACGGTGCTGATGCTTCTCAATTATCTGTACTTCAAAGGTGAGATATTAATCACGTGCAGCGTGACACTCTTCTGTGTAAAGTCTGGAGGAGCTGAATTAATCAGCCATTTCATAAGATACAATACACTATAAACTTTAAATGTACTATTATTATAAAGATATTTACCTGGTTTGAAAGATAACATTGTACTACTTTTGTATCCAATTAACGTCTTGTTTTCTTAATCAATTTAGCATTATTTTACATCTCACGCGTGTTTCTTCTGCAGCTCCGGAGGGACTAGTTTGATGTGTAAAAACGGAACATCTTGGTGAACAAACGTCATTCTTTTCGGACAGGGACGTGGGAAAACAAATTCCCAGCAAAGCAGACCAGCTATCGCAGTTTCCGCCTGAGCGAGAGGGAAACCGTCCGCGTGCCCATGATGCAGACCAAGGGGAACTTCCTGGCTGCTGCTGACCACGAGCTGGACTGCGACATCTTGCAGATGTCCTACGTGGGCAACATAAGCATGCTGGTGGCCATCCCCAGGAAGCTGTCTGGGATGAGGAACCTGGAGACACAGATCTCGCCAGCTGTGGTCAACAGATGGATCAACAGCATGACCAACAGGCAAGTCTGCTCCTTGCCACCTTACTGCTTTCAGCTTATACTTGGTATATCTCAAATACCTGACGCATCTTTGCAACAAGGACCTGTCAGCTCAAGTCTCCAAAAGAAATGAAATGTTCCTGGGCAACATTCCCATAAATTTGGCCTCTGTGCAAAAACCAGACCTATGCTATAAATAATAAATCAGGTCAAAGGGTACTGCACCAGCACAATGTATTAAATTCCAGCTATCAACTAAGTTTTGGTGGAACTGATAAAAAAAGGGAATACAAACATTGCTGCTTCGCCAATTTTCTGGGCGGTTTAAACAATATAAAGACAGGATTATGGGCATTTGCTTCCAAGACCTGATGGGGATGCTAATAATTATCATCCATATTTTTGTCACAAATTACTGATTCCATGTATTTGCTTTAAAACAAGAGCATTGTAAAACCGCGTGGTGGCAGTTAGCAGAGGAAATGTGGGGTGTTCAATACAAGTGCAAAGAATTCTTCAGCAAATGCACTTTGTAAGCAAACAGCAGAACAGCCTGTCCACAAACTCAGCCAAAGGTACTTCTGAACTGCACAGTGCATGCCACTGGTGTCTGCAGAGAGATTCCATCTTAGTGACTATGCTCTTTCCTGCCATGAATTACCCATCAAATTAGTCCTCTGTTTCTAGAACCCAAATTTTAACCATAATGGCTCGATAATGAAGGAACTGCCCTACATACTACTGTAATTAACCAAAGAAAGAGATTAACGTTGACCAAGACACACACTCTGACCTGTTCTTCATGCAGAACCCGAGAAGTTGTCTTCCCCAAATTCAAGCTGGAAAGGAACTACAACTTGATTGGACACCTGAAGGAGATGGGGCTTACGGACCTGTTTAACGTGACCGCAGACTTCTCTGGCATGACAGATGAGAAAATAGCCATTGATATGGTACAGTAAATGCACAATCAACACTACCAGCAGCTATATCACCCTGCCACTGAGCTATATTCACACCTAGAAGTGTTCATGACTCCAGGAGTAGGCCGGTATTGCTGCACTCTTTTTGAAATAGGAACGTGTAGGCATAACAGACATATCACCCTGCAACTGCAGCCCACTGAAGCTCAGCAGATATGAGCCTGGCCAGTACCTGGATGGGAGACCTCCTGGGAAAGCTAAGGTTGCTGCTGGAAGAGGTGTTAGTGCGGCCAGCAGGGGGTGCTCACCCTATGGTCTATGTGGGTCCTTATGCCCCATTTTAGTGATGGGGACACAAAACTATAAAAGGGCGCAGTCCTACAGACGACAAATAAAAGCGAGATCCTGACTCTATGTAGTCATTAAAAATCTCAGGGTATTTCTTGAAATGAGTAGAGGTTTAACCCCGGTGTCCTGGCCAAATTTCCCCCTGGCCTTTACCAATCATGGCCTCCTAATAATCCCCCATCTGTGAACTGGCTCCATCACTCCGCTCTCCTCCCCACTGAGAGCTAGTGTGTGGGGAGCACTATGGCTGCTGTCACATCACCCAGGTGGCGCTGCACACTGGTGGTGAGGGAGGGGAGTCTAGAAGAGCTCTATATAAATGTAAGGAGTTATCATTATCAAGAGTTTGCAGCACCAATCCTACAATCAAAAATTTTCCCCTGCCTCTCAACACTCAACAAAAAAGCAGGAACCAGTGGAGCATCAGTCTGGTCCACAGCCCTGCATGCAAAGGTTCTCTCCTCTGCTTCCTCCCCCGCAGTTCAAGCACCAGGCTACGATCACGGTGAACGAGGAAGGCACGGAGGCGGCTGCCGTGACCACAGTGGGCTTCATGCCCCTGTCGGCCCAGATCCGCTTCATCGTGGACCGGCCCTTCCTCTTCCTCATCTACGAGCACCGCACCAGCTGCCTGCTCTTCATGGGCCGCGTCGTCAACCCCAACAACAACTAAAACCCAAGGGCCCCAGGGAGCTGTGGTTTGCCTTCACACAAGAAGACAGAATAAGAAACGTTGCCAGCTTATATCGTCTCCATCTTAAGCTACTGATGGCAAAATAAATTACAGCAGCCTAGTGGCTGATAAGACCAAGAAACGTTGGTACTAAAACATTAAATATAAATGGTATGTTAGCCGATTCAGTATTGTGCTTTCGTTTTCTCACTTTGTGACAGAATCTTTCCCATGTGGAACAGGGTTATGATAACAAAATCAGATAAATGGAGGTTTACAATAAAAACATTGGCTCTAATTGCAAATCTTTAAAAAAAAAATGCAGTTTTCCGTAGGATACTCCTACAATTCATTTTCATACTAAGAGGTTTCTAAACAGTTTGAATTCCTTTAAAAAAATCCCTTTGTATGGGAGCAAATATTAAGAAATATAAAAAAGGTTACCAACAAGAGGGGGAAATTTGGGCCATCTAACACATTTGAATGCTAGCAGCAATTTAATCTCAGGAGGTCATCCAGTAGTTTCTTGACAGAAGTCAAGGTATTGATTTCAAGAACAATGGCTGGGTAGCTTCAATTCTGCATACATTACTGCGCAGTTAGTCAGCATTTCTGAATAAGGTTAATAATTTAGGCAATGCTGTTCAAAGAGTTGGATAACAGCATCCAAGGATGGCTATCACAGTGCCAGCTCTGCAACACATAAGAGTCATCACACAGCGGCACAGAGCAGCAAGCATCAGATCATCAATAAGGATAGAGTGCTACAGGCTTATTTCCTGTTGCCTAGAGCAGTTTGACACATTTTAATTGGAAATCCATTTCTGAATACATCAATGAAGCATCTGGATTAATTAGTGTCCTTAAAAATTAATTTCATTTTACCAATACAATTTTCGGTTCTTAATACCATTTAGACAATTCTCCTTCTACAAAAGCATTATTTCCAGCAGCTCATTTCCCCAGTACACATTCATTTCTCTTGTTTTGCTAGTGGCAAACAGCTTGTGATTATCCTGACAGCTCTCTGTTTTGTACAAGTATGCGCTGTACAAATTGTGAAGTACGATGCCAATGTCTGAAAACTGCCCCATTAAAGATATTACATAAAATGATCCTTCTGTGACTCACACGATTAATAATTCAGTAAGGCTAAGCAATGTATTCAAATTTAAATGTCTTTTGAGATAGAAAATAATGTGGACAGACTTAAAAGAACAGTTTTCTGGAATTAGGGTCAATGACAGGACAGCTACAGTATACATCAGCAGAACTGCAAGTCAACATCTTGTTTTGCAAGCTGTGTAAATATTTGTTTCACAGGTGAAACATTAACTGGAATGGAGACTTGTCTGAATTGTCTGTGCTCTTTCAGGTGATTCATTACAATGAATTAAATAGAAGAAAACAAGAACTTCACCAAATCACTGAACGTCAACAGCTGAAATGTCAGCAGTTTAGCAAGAGAATAGCGTCGCTAAGATTTCTAGAAATGCCTTCAATCCACACCCTGCTCAAGCTCCACTGAACCTCACTGTACTTTAATGATGTTAAGAAGCCTGAACAGAGCAGAATAAGAGTTACTAAAGGATAGATTCAAATGGTCGGTACCAAGAGTAACTAAAAAACTAAGGGGTAGGGCCTGAATCAATAAATATTGATTAATTGCTTTAAACAAGGAAGACCTTATAAGGAATGTCCACAGCTTCCTGCAAATAATGAGGTCATTCTGATTAGTGCTCTGTTTTTAGGACCCACACATAAAAGGACTGCTTATTCCTTCCAATAGCTTGTTTAAAAAAACCTCACTCCACCCCCTGTCCATCTGCAGACCCATGTGATTTCAGCCGGAGCCAGCAGAAGCAACTGGTTTAGGACAGACTAGCAAACACTGTTGTTTGGTGATGTTGATGCGAGTTTCTTTAGCAGAGTGACAAGATGTGTTGCTGTACGCCGGGCTTCGTACAGTTAAAAAACAAAGGCATTGCATTTTTACAGATGTTTGACAAGACGTGTCCTTACCACAGCAATGACTGGAATCAGCACTCCCAGGTTGCCAGCACTGCTGGATGCCTGCAGGAGAACGTAACATAACGAGTTTAACGTTCACAATATAACAATCTTACAAGACAACAAAGAAGAAAGGAATCGCACTAAGTCACGCATCGATTGGACCGCTTCAGGCACGTGGCCCATACAAAAAGTGGAAATGAAATTAACCAGAGAACACCGCTTACAAATAGCGAGACAGGAAATGCAGATGAATGCAAAACCTCTCGCCCGAGTACAGTGGGTGAATGAGAGATCCAGACAATACAGAACCCATTTCACTCCTTTAGGCAACGTGACAGGATTCTCACTCTGGAAACAGGACTAATCCCACCAGAATGAGAAAACCAGGCAGGTGGATTTGTACTGCACGGGTTTGCTGCTGGTGTGCTGCTTCCCGAGTGATTCCAGAGGCACACCGGCACCGTACCTTGAGCGCTGGCCCCTTCTCGCTCGCCCGTTCGCTCGCCCTCTTGCCCTCCAGCCCCAGCTGCACGAAGAGCTCGAGGAGGTTGACCAGTAACTCGTCCACCATCTGTTCCCCCTGCAGGTTGGCGGCGATGTTGGCCAGGGCGTTGATCACGGCCAGAGAGCAGTGCCTGCACAGGGAAACAACGCCAGCCCTCGCTCAGTGCCACGCCGAAACGGTCCCGGGTCTTCGAAAGTCAGCGGGTTCTATTATAAAGCGTCTTGCAAAAACTCTCATTTTTGTTTGACCAGCTACAGAAGTCAGTCAAGTAATCCAAAGGTTTTTTTGCTTTTTTTTTCCCCATCATTTTTAAAAACTGATGTCTGAAATAGTGCTTATACTGGAGATCAAAATGTTGGAAAAACACTGGGCTTTTAAGAAAAAATATAAGATGTTTATATTTGTTTGTGTGGATTGTTTTCAGAAAACAAATTGGCAAGAAACCAGTAAGAATTATGATAATGTAGAAATATTTACCAGTAAATTAGTAAAGAACATTCTAAAAATACTCCCAACTCAAAACAGGTAAAGGGGCTCTCCTGAACACGGGTTAAGCTCAATGAACGTGGGTTTGAGCAGTAGAAAACCAGGATTGTGATTCCCGGATGACAGGGTACGATTATCTGGCCACAGCTCTCTCAGCTCACTGCAAGACAGTGACCACTGTGGCCTCAAAAGGTGCTTGTGGTGCTGTCAGCGAGAGACGCGGCCCAACTCCCGTTGGAGCTGAACCTGCAGTACGAGGCGGACTACACTTTCTCCTTCCACATGTAATCACGGATTGTAACCAAGAGTCGAGCTACAAAAAAACACACAGCTGACAAAAACAATTGGCGATCCTAAATTATAATATATAATGAATAATTCCAAGACCTCAGGTTTAAGCCTGAGACCCAGTTACCTGTATCCATGGTCCCTGTGGTCTTTTGTAGCCGAGTAGACCACTGAACTGGCCTTCACACTGATCTGCTGGAACAGGTTCCACACCTCCTGATAAATGTATTGCTAAAGCAAAACAAGAAAACATGGGTAGTGTTTTGCCTTGTTGGTCTCTGATTGTCACTGATAAATTGACCTATTTCGGACTGAAATGCATTCCATTTTTCATTATAAGATGAAGTCGCCAGATGACACTGGGCTGGCTTTTAACTAAAATATTAATGGCTAGATCTATCCTGTTACTTTTCCAAACAACTCTGCCAGCCAGACAGGTCTGCCCTATTGCCCTTTCCATCTTCTTCTTTACATATGAACATCTTACCTGGGAAGATTTATCATACTTTTTACATCTATTATCATAAGGTGATGCAGAAGATTTACAGAATACAACCCGACAGATGCATAAAGAATGTTACTGTATAAACGGTGGGGTCCTGGAACTTACATTTCCTGTGATCACCATGCATCCCAGCTGGTCTATTATCAGCACATCCAGCTGGGAGGGCGGCTGGCAAAACTTCTGCTGCAGGATCTGCAGGATGGGTTCCATCACCTTGGGGGTGTCCCGCAGGGCTACTGCAATATGGCCTAGCGCTCGGATGGTGTGGTCCGGGATGAGGTGAGCATCCCTGAAGGACAGTGGGGAAAAATGTCCATCAAATACATGTGTATAATTATAGCTTCACGTGCAGCACAGCACAAAATGCAGAAGGTAAGAGAAAACATTTTTTTTTTATGATACTAGGATAGAAGAGCAATTTCTACAAGGAAAGCTTCACCCCTCCTCCCTCTTTCTGAATAGGGTGAATCGTGGCCAGCATACTTATCATTCTCCTGCGAAATGTAGAGGCGGTTGGACAGGCTGGCCAAGAAGGCCTCCACAATCACAGGATCCATCGTCAGCCCCGCTTTCAGACATCTGGAGGAAGAACAAAACAAAACCGTAAAGCCTGCAGTCCATTCTCATACATTCGGGACGAAGATCAGCAGCAATGGTGCATGTTGCCTTTCTTGCCATATTTTACACCCATTTCGGTCTTTTTCCCCCCCCCCTCATGTCTTTTGAAAAACGTCTCGCCTCTTCTGAGCCCAGGGACTGATCTGAGCCTCCCCCCTGCTGCCCCCCTGACCCCTCACCTGCAGATGTTGTCGATGGAGATGTCCCGCAGCTGCTCATACATGGAGGGCTGGCTCTTCTTGTTGGAGAGCACGTTGAGGGTGGACTGCGAGTGCTCATTGGTGACGCTGATCTTAATCTCTCCGGTCCCTTCGAAAGGAAGGCAAAGCCATTCAGTGATCGTCTTTCCTGCTTCCCTGTCAAGTCTATCAGGACACTTAGGGCTACAATGTCCAGCTCTCTCACCAGCCCTGGACACTGCAACCCAGAGGTTTGTGGGTTGAAATCCCAGGAGAGATGCTGCTGTTCTACCCCTGAGCGAGGGACTTTAATCAAACTGCTCCAGTAAAAACCTCTGTGGTATTAAACAGGACTACAGATCATTACTGAATATAAGAATGCCTTCTCAACTACTGTAACTTACCTGGTAACACAGAAATACAAAAAGCACTGCTAAATTCATTGACATGTTATTAGTTACCAATTTTCTCAGTTTAGGTGAAGCAGGGAGACAAATGATTGCTCCTAGCGTCTGTACGAGTGAATGCTGAAAGATGCAGCACCCTGCCTGGTTACCTGTGTGATACTGGCTGTGGTATTTGTACAGCTTCACCAGCACGGGCGAGGGGACCACGAGGAAATCGCGCAGCGAGGTGGTCACAGGGTGGGCCACCACAGGGAATCGCTCGCACAGACGCCCCAACCCCTGCACCGGGAGCACAAGAAGGAAGGGCGGGGGTCAAAATCGACAGCTTCCGACAGCCATGATGCAAAAACAGATGGTGGTGGCACCCCAATACTTGGCATGCTGCTCTCCAACAGGAAAGGCACACAAAATGTAAATCACAAGTGAAGTGTGAAAATGCTACATTTTATCCTAATAATAACAACATCATTTTCCCCAACAATCAGGCCGAATTCAGTTCCTGTTAGTTTAAAAAAAGAAACTCTGCAGACCCAGAGTGAGAGTCTGGAAGATCTTGCAGCCTACGTGGAGAGACTTTACCCCAGAGCTCTTACCTGTAAACAGCAGATCAGCAGGGGCATGTGGGCGATGATGACTTTGCTTGACGTTTTGGACTGGAGTTTCTCCGACAGCTTCGTGCACAGATTCTCCGCCCCTTGAAGACAAAACACCAACCAGATGTCTCCATGTATTATTTTCCAAACAAAAGTACTTGTCAGGCTGGGATTTGAACTGAAAAGGCAGCTCGATCTTAAAGAAAACGAGGGAGGATGACATTAAACCGACTCGAAAAGCCTCGCAGTGCAGAAACATCTGCTCAGGCAGGGAAAAGCACGGATCAATCAAAGTGATTGATTCTAGTAATCAAGAGCAGATCTGATAGTGCTCCCAGCAGTTAGGCTGCTAATAAAGAATAAAAACAGCACAAGGCACTGAAAGTCAACCCAGGGTATTTCTTCAGAATGAACAGTTAAGAAGACAAACACTACGTGGAAGTGCATTTAAAACCGAGAACAGGATGGTTATGACGGTATAGAATAAGAATAAAATTTTTTCCCCCCAAGAAACAGCTAAATGAGATTCGAGGATCGTTTAACTACCAAAAGAGCTATACGGGACGAATCACCTCCCCTCTATGGAACCTTTTCTTATACTTTTATTTCCTCAGGTCAGCAGCAGGCGCCTGTACCTTGCTCCTCCTTCACAGCCCACACCATGAGGTCCACACAGGCGGCGCTGGCCTGGCAGCGCAGCTTCAGGGGGTTCAGCTCGCTGTGCACGTGCTCCACGTCGTGCAGGATCTTCTGCAGCTCCGACTGGCTGATGCTGAACTGCTCCAGCACGAAGTCGTGGACCTCCTTCACAAACGAGGTCTGCAGGTCTGGCGGGAGAACAGCTGGTCACACCCGGGCCAGCGCCAGCAGGGGGCGGCAGCCGGTTGCTAGGCAACCGTGCGCGTGCGTGGAGGTGCTGTCTACCTGCACAGCTGGACCTCTCCTGTCAACTGAGGATGCGCCCCACTTTCTAATTTTCCCCCTCTGCCATTCTCGCCGTTTCCTCTGTCCCACCCAACACCAACATTTCCAACTACTGTCCTTTAGTCTCTGCGTTTCCTCCTCTCAGCTCGTATCAATCTCATACTGAGTCCAACGACAACTAGACTCCAATCGCACACCCACACAGGAAAGAAAACATCCTACACCTGAGGCAGTCCTTGTTGGGAAGAATTCGAAAAAAGACTGGTCTTGAACACAGTCCTTACCTCTCATGTAATATAAAGTGTCCCTCAGCATTTTAAACATGGCCACATACAGGGGATCACTGAATGTCTTGTAACAGAGGTCTATGTTGGGATTCAACTGAAAACACAAGAGAACAAAATGAGAAAATTCCTTAATAACAAAAATGTTTGGAGCCACACTCCTGCCACCTGAATGCATTCACGGCATGCAGCAGGGATTGAAAACAAAAGCCGACAGATAGGGGGCTTAACGTCATGAGAAAAAAGACACACCTCCAAGACCTCCGTCATGACTGAATCCAGGGTTTTCAGAACCGAGTCTGCGACAATCTGTTTTACCTGTGGGGAACAAAGCACCAATATATAGTCAGGGTCGCAAAAAAAATCCTAGAGTTTACCGCATAACTTTCCCTTGAGTGTAAACAGCATAATCAACGTTAATAACCTTGCAAGGCTGAAATTTTACTTTCAAGGCAAATTTCACAAGGAATGGAGCTCAAGAGCAAAAACATGCCATCTGTCACAAGAGAAGAACGTATCTATGCAAAGAGTAACAATGGGTTGTCTGCCCTGCTGCGCAACACCATGTGCTTAATGATAACACTGGAACACCAGAGGAAAACCAGTCACTGCTGAGCCACAGCCTGCTTCCTTATTAAGGTGCCAAAGAGACAAGTGAAAATAATTACTGCTAATTACACTTGTCTTTTTGTCAAGCAAACCTCCCTTCCTCTTGCAATGACGTACGTTAACGCCGGAAAAAAAGCAGCTAATGACGCTTGCAGGAACACTGGGGACACGGTTTTTATTACGATTTGGAGAGGAGGAAGAACCGAGCCCAGCACCATGTGCAGAAGCTGCCGCAGGACTTCCAGGGGGATGTCAAACTCCTTGCTGCTGTGGCCCGTGAACAGGGGAGAGACGGAGAAGCTGGAGCTGATGGTGGAGAAGTAGTAGTCGGGGTCCACTGCACTGCCATCGGGAAGGTAGGAGCCTGGAGGGACAAGACCAGCTGTAACACTGAGGTCACGGACACAGGCAACCACAGCCTGAGAAAAGTCTCGTCTTTCAACCAGCCCTAGAACTGCACCCTAACCCAACCAAACACCCAACAACAGTCCTTCAGTCTAAAGCAGCCTTTTCCTACTGTTAGCCACTAATTTCTATCTTCTTATCATGCACACAACGCAGAGAAAACCATAAATTAGCATGATTCTCACGGCTGTGCAATCCAACTTCACTTTATTGGCACTCTTAAATACAGATTTACAGATTAAAATGTGTTTTATGTAAAAAGGCATTAGAGCCCCCTAATATATATTAATCCATTGGAAAATGTTCATCCGTCTTAGGTGTAACTTCCCTTACGAATTCCCTTTGCAAGGCTTCATGAACACCCACTGATTCATGGAAAAATAAATCTTTTCAGCTGTAAATAAGGAGAAGCTGAGCTCTGCAAGAAACTTGTAATGAGCAGCAAAGGTCATGTGCCAAGAGGAGAGACGACAAAGGAAAGCCCACAGGACACATTTGCCCTGAACTCCTTCCGCCACATCTGGACACCATGGACACACAAATACAATACTGGATTTAGTTGGCACTCAATCCCATTTTTAAAAAAACCAAACACTTTACACTCCCGGATCAATTTAAACAGAAAGCAGATTGCATTTTGAAAACACTTCACAAAATCTTTAAGGGAGAAGTTCACCTTCAAAATACTGTGCTGTCAACCCTGCTGGAGAGCTGGGCAGAGTCCCTCCGCGCTCCGGACTGGCCTGGAAACAGACGAAACCGACTGAAAACACGTCACGCAACACAAAAATGAAAGCAAGAAGCAGTTACTGAGCAACTCGGGGGGGAGAGCAGAGTGTAAAATCTATTTGATTGTGGAAACAAACTCTAGAACAAAACCAACAGCACATGACTTTGACATCCTCTAAGGACTGAAATCTGACGTCCTTCCTTTTTTTCTGGCGGAAAACAAATGACTGCTCAAGACATGTTCTCGCGTGCAAAATGGATGCCAACATCTGCTTTGTTAACTCCTAGTTCTGTTCCTTTCATTTTAGGATTCTTTTAGTTGTTTTTATGCACCCTACAGTATCTGCTTTTTAGTTTACACGCCAGCCGTTTTCGGGGGGCGGTTTTTTCTCCGCCGTCTCGGCTCGTGTTTCTGCGTGTCCCGTCTTGTTCAGCGGCCTGCCCCGGAGAGCGAGCGAGCGAGCCCTGCCTGCGAGACGCTGGACACGCTGCTGGTCTTGCGCTTCAGCGAGTCCCCCTGGCAGACGGTCAGCAGGGAGCTGGGCAGGATGGAGCGGAAGTCGTTGAAGGAGCGCCGGCGCACGCCCTCCAGCTCGTCGGCCACCCGCAGGGACTGCGGCGCCACCCGGGGGCAGAGCTTGGACAGGAGGGACTCGTCCGTGTTGCTGTAGCGGCCGAAGGCGCGGGCCACGCCCAGCAGACACGGCACCGCGTACCTGCACAGGTATTCTGGGAAAAGAAGAAGCGCACCTGAGAGAGCCTGCGCTTAACTCGCAACCGGCACAGGGAAAGTTTAAAGACACAACAGAAAACAAAATTCCAACACAACAGCTAAACACACTCCTTCATTACGGAACTTACACAGCTAGTGTTGCACGCTGAATTTGTGTTTTGAGTGAGTAGGAGAGACCAGCTGTATTTTCCATCTCTTTTTTTTAAGCATGAAGTATTAAGGAAACTAACTCTATGGAATCTGAGAGAGGTAGTAGATATTAGAATTCTTTATGCAACCAGATATGATATATAGGGAGTGCTTGTTTATGCAGTGGGGCATTCAGAGGGGTGTTCTGAGTTGAGTACCAAGCTCAAGGGTAACAACAGCATTACCCCCCCAGGATTCGAACCCGTGACCCTCCAGTTCAGAGTTTAGAGCCCTAACCACTATTCCAGACTGCTGTCTATTAAGACCCATTAGCTCTACCTTTATCCTGGCTCTCGGGCGTCTGACACATTTCCAACAGGACCTGCATGGCATCCATGACAGCTTCCAAAATCTGAACGGAAACAAAAATAAGACACAAGCCCGCAGAGTGCGAAAGCACAGCTGTACTACTGCGGCGATATTCGCAATTCTTTTATCACAAAAGCGCTCTTACAGTCTGACAAATGACCCACGGCAATCTTTGAACTCTACTCCCTCAATGAATATTTTTGCAAACGTTTCTGCATTTCTGGCAAGCAACGTGGCGTGCAGTTGGCGAGTGGCTGGCTGGGATTCCCAGGCTGCCCTCACCTGGCCTCGCGAGGAGGCATCTCTCTGGGCGACGTCTGACAGCAGGGTCACCAAACAGAAGCTGAAGTTTTCTGCAATGGGGAGGGATTCTGCAAAAAGCAAAGGTGGAGGCAGAACTATCTTTCAGCTGCAGATGCACCAACAGTACCTTATGTTATGTTAACAGTATCTTAACACTGTCTTCCCCTCATCCCATATTAAAAAAATACTGACCATTGGAAAAAACACATTTAACATGTAAAGACTCATTAACCTGAATGTTATTTTTTAAAGGCAATTTTGTTTAAGATGTGCAGTTTCCATTTTAAGATTCCCCATCGCCTGTTATCATCCTGCACCGAACCAAGGAAAGGTCTACTCCAAAAGAAAAGAGACAATGCTTTGGCTGTGGAGCTTCACACACCTGAAGACGGCTCGCCATTGTCTCTCTTTTCTTTTCAGCTTGGAATAAACCTTTCCTCGTTCCTTTGAAACCTACTCATGTTCATGGAGCTACCTACTTGAACTTCCTCATTCTGCACTGCTTATTTTTCTAACAAACGCAGGCCAAAAGTGATATATATGATTAAAGTAAAAATAAAGTATACAAATGGTGATTATAGTTTCTATCCAGCAACAATCAAATATAATGTTCTTCTTACCTTTTCCTTTCCTTCCTGTGCTCTCTTCGATCCACTGAACCCGGGGCAACCCCTTCAGCAGACCGAGCAGGTATGTAACAATGCTTTCTTTGTGCTGCAAAAACGACAGACCATCAACTTTATTGTCTCCCGCTGGTGAGATTCCAGGTGGCACAGTGTGTAGCACTGCTGCCTCACAGCTACTGGGTCTTGGGGCTGATCCCGGACTGGGGAGCCCTCTGTGTGGACTCTGCACGTCGTCTCTGGGTGCTTTCACATTGGAAAGACATGCCGGCCAGGTTAAGTAGTATCCCTGTGTGTGTATGTGCCCTGTGGGCTCCATATTACAGCAACCCTTACTGGGAAGAAGCAGCTTGATGTTAATGGATGGATGGCAAGTGCTATTCCACATGCATCTGAGTGCAGAAAGCAAAGCGTGTCAAATCCTGCTACTGAATTCTTGCAGCAGATCAAATCATTAAGCTTAGCTCCTTACTGCAGCTGTGGGGCATTCCCAATTCAACCCGCAGCTGGCGAGCTCCGAGTCTTTCGGGAAGACCGGCGCGCAGAACCCTGCCGCACGAAGCTTACCTGCAGGCCGGACTCCACCAGGAAGATGCCCAGAGCGATCACCGCGCCCCTGCGCCGCTCGTCCAGCTGGTAGATGCCCCGCAGGTCCACAGGGCACATGCATTGCAGTTTCTGAACCTGCGACGGGAAGGAGCACAGGCGCCATGAGAGCCCAGCACTGCAAAGAGCAGGACTGGAACCAGCCTGAGGACAACAAGCAGGTCGAACACAACTGGACTTCTAAAAACAACTGGTCTGCTCTGTACATAGAACAGATGTTCACATACCCAGGATCCTGAAAAAAGAACAGTTACAAACAATTAGGCCCATCAAGCCATTTAGCTTAGCAGGTAGAAGCTCATGGATCAGAGTCTCACCCAGCTGTTTAAAAGCAGGTTATCAGCTTCAACAGCATGACCTGTTACAGACTCCCACAGCTCTTTGGGCAAAGAATTTGATTTAAGCGACAAATATCAGCTTCTACTCCAATCATAAAATTAACCTATTTTTAGTCCTCTGTGTGTGTGTAATAGATATGTAAGGAATATAGTTACATAATATGGCAACAGGCTGCTGAAATAATGGCAAAAGAAAACGCGGAGGTCTGGTGTTGTGAACGTGTTGTGAAAGGTGTGCTGTGGTAAAAAAATAATCCAGAAAAGATGACAACACACGATAGATGGACAACACAGCAACAAGAAGGACAGAAAAGAAACACTCTTTTTGGCAGCCTTTTGATAGTGTAACCCACACTTTTATTTTACAATTCAAGTTTATTCAAAACCAATTCCCAAACCTCCACATTGGTTTTTTTTGATGAACATCTTACACAGAACGCAGGCTGCTCGCGGTTCAAAAGTAAAATAAAAGATGTACTCATGAATGTTCAACAAACCCTGCCACGAACCGAGCTGTTTAAAAAAGGCTGTATCATTTAACCGCCCGCTGACTAACTAATCTGCACTAACGCCGTAGAGAAAGAGGCCACATCATGTCGGGCAGCTCTCTAAACGTCGGTGTCAATTTACAACAGTATCGAGCAGTCATCTCAAACGCCAGCATCTAAACTGTAAAGCACTGGACTATTTGTAATTGAAAAGAAGAAGCATCCCCCATTCTGACAGAAACGATACCAGCCATTCACAGACCAAAACAACTCGCCACTAAGGTGCAACTAGTTAAGAAAAAACACAATATAAGCGCCCGGCGTCTACATTTGCCTCGTTTTCACACAGCAATAGAACATCCCGCCTCACCTTATCTGCAGGTGCCGGTCTGTGCGCTGCCAACGATCGAGCGAGGGATAAAACTGTGTTAAAATAAAACCCCCGCGATCCACCCCCTTTCACCGACATCTTCGCTTCTTCTCCATCGGCTAGGAGAAACGCACAGTGTACGAGGAAGCCGATATGACGGCGAGCCCGGGGAGCCAAACTGGACGCGTGCACTGTGCGATCTGTAACCGGAAAAAAGCGAAATCGAAAATTCGAACGTGAGATTTCTAAGGAAACAAACGAGGCGAGGTTGGACAGTCGACTCACTTACTGTAACTCGTTTGGTATGCAATAGCTGATTGATCTCGCTATCTTATCCATTCAACAGCCAGCGGTTGAATGAAGCAGAGATATCGTCTTCATCAGCATAGCTGGGCAAGAAAACAACATTTGATCAGGATTTCCAAAGGTTGCTGGGAGGCAGTGATTAGATTCTGCGAGACAAAGTTTTAGCAAAGTTTTTACAATGGTAAATAGACTCACCTTTAAATAACTAATGTTAACTAGAATTTTAATTCCGATTCTCATTGGTACATTTAATATTACTAATGCAATGTTGGTAGTGTTATTACATGTATATGACGCTTGTCTCATTTGTACACGCACTTGTGTCCCAGGCGCAACGACAGTAACCTGACTGTGTATCACCTGTTTTTTAGCTCCTCAGCATTAGCTCAAATAACGTCATTTTTACACAATGTCCAAGAGCTAGAGAATTCTATAATGTTTTATCACTTTTCTTTCTCGTTACAAATCATTAGGAGCTGCGCTTCTTAGACTACTTTGACAGACCTGTCAATCTCCGAGTCGCTCTTCACGACATTATTTTTTTATTTTACTTTTTCAATCGTTGTTATATTTTATGTCATGTTTTATTTGCGACGGGCATCATATGTGGCCTTCCTGTTCCACATTAACGCCTTTTTTACTTCTCGTTCTCTATATTCAAATTGCGGCTTGAACTGATTAGAAATTGAAATACAGGTGGGGGCGTGGAGAGGTCACATGACACAAATCCACTGACGTCACCTTGCGAAAGAAACTGTTCCGGGTTAGGTCAGCTGACTGGGGGGACTCGCTCGGCCGAAGGTGCGAGAGTCAGCAGCTGGAGAGGTAAGGGTGAAACCTTGTTTATGGTCTGTTATATATATCATTTGATAATATATTATTATAGATGACGTATTATATAGT